CTGGAGGCTAAAGGAGCCCACCTCTTCTAGTGGAGCCCAGTGCTGGGGGTGGAGGAGGATTGGGAGTGTACCTGCCCCGTCGTGGAGACCTGGTGGGGAGGCTTCTCCAGGTGGTTTTCTGTTCCCCAGAATAGTGCCCCTAACTGCTTCTCTGGGATTGCAGCATCCTCTGCCTCCAGACTGGGATAGGAAGGGGAGGTGCTTTCTCATGCCCCTCCAGGGCTACCCTTCTCTCTGGGAGCCAGCTCCCCTCAGGTTAGCATTTACTCAGAGTGTGCTTTCTTCCAGGACAGTGCTAAGCCAGCTCCGTGTATCCATTTTTTCATGATATTCCTTGCTCCTGTGAGTAACATGGTAGAATTTCAGTCAGACAGACAAGGAGACTGAGGCACAAGCAATTTGGCCACTGAGCAGAGTCTGTGTGACTCAAAATCTCCCTGTGTAAGTTCTCACATCTGGTGTCTTTAGAGCCTGGGAGGAAAGAATGGAATAGTCCTGGGTCCTCCCTCACCCACACCCCCCCACCTCACTTGAGGGATCCTGGTGGATAGACCTTTATCATCTGGCATCTGCCCAGCTCTGGGCGTGACAGTCTTTATCACACACTCAGGAGAGGCCAGGGCTTGGGTAGGAGGAAGCCAGTTTTGTGAAAGGGTCTAACTTGTTTTTACACTTCATTGGGGGCGAAGGTGGAAAGGGTTCGTTGCATGTCTTTAACTTATAGGGTGTCATGTGTCAGTGGATCAGCCTAGGTCCCCAGAGCCCTCGTCTGGGGCACGTGAGGAGGGCGGGGGGGGGGGGGGGGCTGCCCCTGTCCTGCATCCTCCGCCTTGTTTGGGAATGTGAGGGGCGCAGCTGCGGCTTGCATCCTGGAATGCAGGCAGACCGGCCCCTCTCTCTTCTCCCTTCCTGGGCAGCCAGCGTCTTAACCCCCTCAAACCCTTGGGGCTACAGACCCCAGGCTCCCGCCCCCTACCCCCATCACCCGTTGGGTCCGCGGGATTACGTTTGGCGGGTCGCTGGGGCCCGGGAAAGGGCGTCTTCATCTCGGCCTGGCAGCGTGCTCCGTGCACGCCCAGGCAGCCTACCCCCGAGCGGCCTGCGGGTCCGAAGGCACCCCTGATCTGAGCGGCTGCTTGGGCCCAGGCCCTGCTGCGGGGTGGGGACGGGGCGCCCGGGGGCGCTGCGTCTGCGGAGGGGCGCGCGTCCCTGTGGGTCTCCGGAGCCCCGCGGGGCTGCGTCACTCTTTGGTCGTGCCTTCAAATGTTCGTGTGCCCCAAGCACGGGTGGCAGGTTTGGCACCTCCTCGTGCGCCTCCCGTAGCTGCTTCGTCCCTCCAGCTCACTGAGCTTTCTCGGGATTGAAACTTCCCCAGGGAGCCCGTGGCCGGGGGCTCCCCGGTCTTCCCCGGCTCGAAAATTCCGTGGTTGCTTGAGTTTACCTTGGGTTACTGCGCCCGCCGCCGGGAGCCGACGGGCCAATAGCGCCCTCTGGCGGGAAGCAGCGGAAGGGCCGCATCCCTTCCTCGCCGGGGCGGAGCTGGGTGTCCTTTGCCCCTGGTGGACTGGAGACTTTGCACCCAGCCGGCCATCCCCTCCCCCACCTACCTGGAGAGGAGAACCCCTCCCCCTGGCACACGCACATCGGATGGTCTCACCCGGAGACTTCCACTTCCCCTCTTGTGTGGGTGGAAGTGCCAGGACATGCATCAGCTGGCCCGGAGAGGCAAAAAGCCTGCAGCATCTAGGGTGGTTTCTTCCAGAAAAGGGATGGGAAGCCCCAGGGAGAGCTTCCTTCCACAGGGTGGCTTGGATGGTTCCAGTGGCTCTGACTTGTCCTCAAGGTTTCAGGCTTGGACCCAGAAACTTAGTGGAGAAATGTTCAGGACGTTTGGAGCCTTCCTTAGCCTGGAGGAAGGAGCCCCCCACAGCTTCCGGTCCTGCTTCTGTGTGTCTGGAGCATATCCTACAAACACCTTCTTTGGGGTCTGGGTGGAAGGACTCTGGACTCTGAGCCCGGCTGCCTGCTTAGAGCTAGGTACCAGGCAGTAGGTGTAGCTGAGGACTGGAGGACCCGCCCATGGGGTGCTGCTCCCAAGTGAACTTCCTTAAGCAGTCTTGCCTCTGCGGCCTCTGTTGACTCAAGCAGGGGAGGAGTTCGCTGAGTTTGCAAGGAGACTTTGGCCTGGAACCATTTTGCCGGCTTTCAGGCCATAGCAGCCTTCTACACCCATAGGAGTCCAAAGCAGAGCCCAGAGCCCTCCTTGGCTGCCTCCTATATTCCTGGCTCCCTTCCCTGAGGCGTTTGTGGGGGCTTTGGGGAGAGAGTGACACTGTGCAGTCACTGAGCAATGTCCAAGGGTGCGGAGACGGAAGGAAGCTATCCCAGAGGCCCCCTGGCTCGGGCATGGGCTCTCTTCCACTCAGGCAGACACACTTTTGATCGCTTTCCCGCCAGCGTCCACACCTGCCTCCCTCCGACTGGTGCTTTATTACTTCTTTTCTCATGAGGCTTGCCCTTGGCACGTCTCATCCAGATTCTGACCATAGAAGATGTGGGAGTGATAGGTCCGGTGCCTCCTACCCTGACCTCCTTGGAAAAAGGTGTTTTTCAGAATGTCACAAAACAAAGAAGATCTGATGTTTGTAGCTTTCCAGGGACTGTAGCCCCCACTGCCCCAGGTAGAGCTCCCACCAACACCGTGAGGTAGGAATGATGAACCCCAGCTTGTCGGGGCAGCCGAGACTCGGGGATGGCCTCGGAGAGTAGATGGAGGAGCTAGACTCGAACTCCTGGAATCTTTTGTTTCTGTCCCCCTAGGACTGCTCCTTCTGACCAACAGATGTACCGGTGTTTTAAAGACCCCAGTGAAATTGTAAGCCAGACTTAGAGTCGGGGGAGAAGAGGGGGATTCGAGGCAGAGGGCAGTGGAGGCCCTCATTTGGGGGGTCTGATGGGATAGGTTATCCCTTTGCCTATCCCTTCACATCCTCGCTGTGTCCTCTCAGCCAGGGGTTGGCAGCACGGGCGTGTGATTCTGCCTGCCTGCGCCTCACCTTTACCCTCCATGCTGGCGTTGCTGTGAGGAGGAAGGGAAGGGAAGTGTGAAGCTCCTGTTATTCCCACTGGGGCTGCACATGGTGCCTGCTCTCGGGAGCCCTGTAGGGTTTTCCAGCTGGCTCTGCCTTTGATGGAAAAAGGAGAGACCCTGCCCCTGCCGAACTGGGCCCAGGGCAAGTGGGGATGCTGTGTGAAGCCACGACAGCAGGTGGTGGCCGTTCAGAGGCCACTGAGTTCGGCCCTGGACCCCAGTTCCTTTTCTGTCATCACCTAGGCACGCACTGACTGCCTCTAGTTCTGCTTTGCTAGAGACAGGAAGCCAGACTTATCTAGGGGATCTCACGATGGGTGGGGGGCTGCAGGAACTGACTTTCCTCGGGAGTCAGGAGGCCCTTGTGCCGAGCTGCTGGCCCCAGGGTCCTGGGCCTTGTCACAAGCTCCCCCTCTGACCAGCTGGGTAAGAGCTGGGGGTAGGTGTGGCCACCCTTGGGGGTAGGAGGGCAGGGCAGGCAGCTGGGAGGTGTGGGACCCCCTTGGTTCCCTCTACTGAGCTGGGGTAGGGTTGGGGACAGGGCCATAAGGAAGGATCAGCCTGGGCATCGGCACTCAAGAAGTTGTACCATTGAAATATGGCATCATGTCGTGATCTCAGCAGACTGTTCCAGGCCAGATTTTGGGGGCTTGGGGCTACCGAAGAGCCACACAGTCCTTTCTTTCACTGGCTTTGTTATCTGGGCAGCTTCCACTACCTCTTGAAGCCCCTTTCCCTGCCTGTAAATGTAGGATCAGAATTCCAGCTTTATCTGGTATTAGGGTTCACAGAGAGACCCCATACCACGCAGTGCCTAGCGTGGTGCTCGTTACTAGTGATTGGCAGTAGATCCAGCCATTGCTTTCTGATACATAATAGCCTAAGGGTGGAGAACTGACCCTTCCTGGCCCCCAGCGGGTCAGCAGGAGAGTGAGAGTGAGCAAGTCCTTGAATATGGTAAGAATGAGGGTGTGGTGTTGGGGCCAGGCTCTCTGGGCTGGGGGGGCTGGTGAGGGTCTCCGGAGGACGGATTGAAGTTGAGGGGTTATCAGCAGTTCCTACGCCTGCCCCTCCTGCTAGGGGAGAACCACGGCCCCCCAGTTGGCCGCCTGGTGTCAGGGTAATGGAAGCTTACACTTGATTTGGCTCCCTTCTGCTGTTATAAGCAGAGTAGCGGGGCCCTGGAGCCTCTGGGGCCAGGCGGCTTGCCAGGCATCCGCAGAAACAGCCTACAGAGCAGTCCTGCCCCCTGCTCAGCTGAGGGGGTGGGGATCCCTGCGCCAGCCTCCACCCAGCCCCCACCTCCCCACCAACCTTGAGCCTCCGCCTATAGCCCAGGGTATTGGAGGAGTAGGGAGCCTGGGGTTTTGCTTTTGCCTGGGCAGAGGGCCAGGTACCATACCCTGGAGAGCGCTCCAGGTGGAGGGGGTGCATTGCTGAGAAAGCCCGAGCTCCTGGAATTTCAGTGGGACCTGGCAATGCCTGTGCCCCTCCCCGTGACGTGGGGCCCCTCCCGCCCATTCTCCCCGCCTTGCCCTGTGGAGTCAGAGTGCTGAGTTCCAGGCAGGCATTTCTGACTTCCAGCCAGCCAGCCGCACAGCCCTGTCGGCAGGGAATGCAGGTGCCCGGGCGCCAGAGGTAGGAGAGCCCCAGGGGCAGCCCAGGAGCCTCCAAGCACCTTCAGCCTTGGGCTGGGGAGAAGAGGTCAGTTTCAGAAGCTGGTTCTTTGCCAGGCTGGTCTGGGCTACTGGCTTCCTGCCCTGAGGCTGGTTATTTCTCCCAGGGGTGGGGCAGGTGCCCTTAGAAGTCATTAGCTCTTGGGTGCAGCGGGCAGGGAGGGCACTGCCACTGGACAGCGTGTTGCCAGGATCCCTGGTTCCTAACAGCTCTCGGCGTGTTCTCTCTGCAGACGCCCTGCTGGCTGACTTGGAGTCCACCACCTCCCACATCTCCAAACGGCCCGTGTTCTTGTCGGAGGAGACCCCCTACTCGTACCCAACTGGAAACCACACATACCAGGAGATTGCCGTGCCGCCCCCCGTCCCGCCACCCCCGTCCAGTGAGGCCCTCAATGGCACTATCATTGACCCCTTAGACCAGTGGGAGCCCAGTGCCTCCCGATTCATCCACCAGCAGGTAAGGTGGGGACGGGGGTTGGGAAGACAGCCCGAGGCTTTGGGGCAGTAGGAGCTTGCCTGGCAGTAGCTGGGGGAGCCCGGGGAGGAACGGGATCAGGGGAATAAGGACAGGGGCCGAGAAATGGCTGGGTCTCCCAGAGGCCACGTGAGGGGGCAAGTGACCAAGTGTTAATCACCTGTCCCCTGGCCGGAGTGTGGAAATTCCCTGGTGAGACTGTCTGTGAGCAGGAGCCTCCTGGGGGTGACTCGGGTTGTTCCTTTTCCACCCCCTCGGGGGAGGCTCTGAGCATTCTGTTCCCTGCAGCCTCAGTCCCCGTCACCCGTGTGTGGCTCCAGTGCCAAAACTTCCAGCGCCTCCGTGCCCCAGGACGGCGCCGGCCCCCCGTGTTCCCGAGCCGGTGAGGAAGAGCACGTCTACAGGTACTGACGCAGCCCTCTGTGCGCCCCTTCCCCTCCTGCCTGGGAGGTCTGGGGCCAGGGGTCAGGCCTGGCAGCGGCCCGCACAAGGCCCCGAGGCTCCTGGCCAGCTGGTACTGCCTTGGGCTGGCCTGGTGGCCTTCGCGCTGCTACTGCCACACAGTAGCACGGTTGGGTTGTCACGTCAACTGTGTCGTTGAGGAACTGAGGCAAGACTTCCTTCCTCCCCTCTTCTCACCACATCCCTTCCCCACTGTCCCATCTCTTGCTGGGGGAGACTTCATACCCACTCCACCTTCCTCTCCTGGAGGTCTTGAGGCCGCCAAAGCTGGGGGCACCTCTCATAGTGGCCTCCCCTCTGCCTCTCAGTTTCCCCAACAAGCAGAAGTCGGCCGAGCCTTCACCCACTGTGATGAGCTCCTCCCTGGGCAGTAACCTTTCTGAACTTGACCGCCTGCTGCTGGAACTGAATGCGGTGCAGCATAACCCCCCGGGCTTCCCTGCAGGTAGGACTGGCTCCCTGGGCCCCTGGGGGCCACCTGCTGGCCTTTGGATCCCCAGAGGGGTCAGGGCTGAGCAGCCTTTCCCTCTCGCTCTTCCAAGATGAGGCCAACTCAAGCCCGCCGCTGCCTGGGGCTCTGAGCCCCCACTATGGCATCCCGGAGAATAACAGCCCACTGGGGGGCAAAGCTGGACCCCTGACGAAAGAGAAGCCCAAGCGGAATGGGGGCCGCAGCCTGGAGGATGTGCGGCCCAGTGTGGAGAGTCTCTTGGATGAACTCGAGAGCTCCGTGCCCAGCCCTGTGTGAGTATCGGTGGGCTCTCCCGGGCAGGGGTGGTCTTGCCCAGCCAGCGCTGTGCTCTGGTGTCTGTCCACTTGGCCCAGTTGTCCCCCGTTCCTTCTGCGAGGGCCTGTCATTTGCCGGGCCCTGGACCAGGCCCTGGGGGAGCCACCAGCTTAGTGGCTGTCCACATGGGCTTTGGACCACAGTGTTAGGGCTCGGGTCTCCGGTCTGTCCTCACTAAGTGCTGTCTCTCAAGCCCTCGTGTCCCTGTCTGTAAAATGGGATGAAGGGATATAGGATAATGGTGAGTAAGACCACCTGCCTTGATGGGATGAGACCCAATAATCCACGTAAAGTGTCTGGAGTGGTTTCTGGCTCAGAGCATGTGGCGCACATGGCTCGTTACTAAATGTCAGCCCCGCTCGGTGTCGGTGTGTCGTTGGGGCAGTCTCACAGGTCTGTACGGTGTTGTGCCTGGTGCTTGGGCTCGTTTAAAGGCGAGCTTGAACTCAGGCACGGAGGACCACAGATGTTCTCCTGAGAAAGGGGCCGGTTGAGCTGCCCTCTTGTCCCATGCCAGCAGCTCATCTCAGCTTTGTCCCCGCCCGCGGCTGAGACTGGGAGCTGGCGAGTTTCTCCGGAGTCGGGCGGGAGGACCCCAGTGTGAGAGCTGAGATGTTGAGACCCTGGAGAGGAGAGGGCCGCTCTGGGGGGACACGGAGCTGGCCTCTGGGGTCCTGCTGACGCCGTGCCCGCCCCGCAGCCCTGCCATCACTGTGAACCAGGGCGAGATGAGCAGCCCTCAGCGAGTCACCTCCAGCCAGCAGCAGACACGCATCTCAGCCTCCTCTGCCACCAGGGAGCTGGACGAGCTGATGGCCTCCCTTTCGGATTTCAAGGTGCCCTGAGACCCCTCTTCTTCCCTGCCCCCTCATTCTTCTTCCCCTCTACCTCGGTGTGAGTAGTTGGAGTGCGGGCCCTCAGTGTTTGGGTGCCTCGCCCTGAGCCAGGGACCCTGTGGTGCTCTGATCTCACCAGGGTGCCGGGGAGGGAGGGCCACACCAGGCTTCACTCACAGCTGATGAAGGCAGAGAAGCACTTAGCAGGGAAATTCCTTCTTCCTGGGTTGCTCCCAGCTCCCAGCCACCCAGGCGAAGGGATCAGGAGGCTGAGACAAAGGGTTCTGTGTTGATGGTTGCTCTTGTTGGGGGAGGGCATTCTCTGCTGGGCCGTGTGGGACTGGGATCCTGTGCCTGAGAGGTCATTTGTCCCGGAGCCCCGTCTCCCACGCTGGCTGGCTGTCCTCAACAGGTCCCTCTTCCTTCTGCCTCTGGCTCCAAATGCACAGGTCTCCTTTACCAGCCTCCCTCCATCCTTCCCCATACCCTCCACAGACTTGAGTCCCCACAGGTTCTATCTGTGGGAGACCTAAACCCTTCAGGCTCCTGGGCCAGTCCTGCAGGAGGCATCCTTTCCCCTCCTGTCCTGGACCTCTCAGGCCTGCCAGACCCGGGATGTTTCAGTGTCAGTGCCTCGGTGGGGATTTATACTGCCTGATCTCCCGCACTTGCTGACTTCACCCTTCCACGTGGGTCTGCCTGGGACCTTTGGGGCATGAAGTAGGGAATCTGAAAAGGGGAGCAAGCCTCCTGAGTGCTCTTGGCCCTGAGGGGGGTACAAAGAGTCCCTACTCTGACTAGGGTGGCCCCACAGGCATGGCTCAGTGGTGGCTCTTTGCTGCCTGGGTTTGATGGGGGCCAGGAAGGTGGAGCCCAGGAAGACCTTTTTGGGGTCTGAGTCTTTCTCAGGCCAACCCTCGTGCTTCAGCTTCTCAGCCCCCTCGGTCTGGTGTTGGTCAGTGTAGTTGGTGGCTCTCAGTACCCTCAGGCCAAGCCCATCCCTTGCAGAGAGCACCTCTCCTCACCTCTTCCATCTCTCTCTCCTCTCCTTTCTGCCTTTTGTCTTTCTCCTCTTCCAGACCAGCTCCTCTGCTGTGGCCTTGAGCTCCCTGGGGCTGCTGCCCAAACCAGCTCCATCCCCACGCCACACACCTTCCCCTTCTCCTCCTCCTCCTGGGCCCTCTCTGTTCTTACCATCCACTCCTAAGCTTGTCTCTGGAGGTCCTGCTGCCTCCCAGGAGGTCCTCTGCTTGGAGGACCCCAGTAATGGGCAGAGCCTTCGACCTCCTGTGGCTGCCCTCCAGGTGACACCTGACACTCCCAGCGCAAGGTCTCCTTCTGTGGAGGCCCCTCTGGGGCTGTTTAGTGCAGAGAACCAGGCTCAGATTTGGAGAGACGTACCAAGCCTCACAAGTGAGGTTTCCAGGGCACCCCCTTGCCACACAGCACCCCGCCAGGCTGGGTGCACAGGTCCCGAGGAGCCTGGAGACCCCAACGGGCTGTTGGCCAACCCTTTGTACCCAGAGAAAGCCATGGCTGCCGCTCAGGAGCATCCGTGGGCTTTGGAGGCGCGTGAGATCCCCCACGGAGCCACACCCAGCTTCCCGGAAGTAACTGAGCCAGCTGTCGTGGCCGTGGACCGTCAGGCTATCTTCCCAGATACCTGGAGTCTCACAAAGGAACGTGGACAGCCGAAGCAGCGGGCAAAGCCAGAGCCAGGGGAGCCGGAAAGCAGCCGCCCGGCCCCAGTTGATGAGGAGCAGTTAGGTGGACGGACACCCATGAGGGGAAGCCTGGTCAGGCCAACCCAGGGACCCGAGACCCTCAGGCGGCCGGAAGGCACCATTGAAGCTGCTGCCCAGGCCCAGAGGGAACAGCTGGAGCCTCCACCTGCCGTGGTCACGGACACGCCCAACACCACTGAGAGGATTTCCGCCTCCGGCCAGGCAGGCGCAAGCTCGCACGGCTGCTAGGCATGGCCCTCGGCTGGCCCGAGTGTGGGCCGCTCCTGGCTAACCGCATGCGGCTTCCCTCTCCGTGCATGTCTGCTTGGGCAGCAGATCCCAAGAGCGCGCGGCCTCAGACCCTGATGACCAGGACTGGGTTCTGTGGGGCCAGTGGAGCCTCCAGGCCCTGGAAATTCTCTTAATGACCAACCCTCTTCTTGCTTGTTTGAAGGCTCTTTCCTCTAGATGGGCTACTCCTCACCTCTTGACAAGATGTGTGCGAAATGGTTAAAAGCATGGGCTTTGGAACCAGATAGTCCTGAATACAAACCACGCTTCCGGTACTTGCTACCCTGTGTGACCTTGGGCAAACCCCCACCAGCCTCAGCTTTCTCGTCTTTAAAATGGGGGTAACAGTAAGGGGGCCTTGCTGGCTCAGTCAGTAGAGCATGCGACTCGATCTCAGGGCCATGAGTTCGGGCCCCATGGTGGGTGTGGAGTCTGCTTAAAAAAAGAAAAAGAAAATGGGGGTTATAATAGACCATTTCCCCCCACCGTTGTCCAAGGACTAAATGAGGCAATGTCTGTAAAGTGCTGAGAACACAGCACGTGGTCCCCTATAAGCCGTGGCTGATGTTACTGTTCTTACTGGCTTCTTGCTTAATGAAAATTTTATGTCCTTTCCAAAAACAGACTAGAGCAACAGCAAAAAAAAACCCAAACAACTACAAGTGAGGTTATAATATACACCAGAAAAAAAACTAATTAAAAGATGTACTGGCAGAAAAGATCACATTTTTCTATTACAGATAAAAAAAAAAAGAGTCTTATGCCTTTTCAGGAATGTCCACCACTTACATCCTTATCCTTTCAAATAATCTTGGAATAACCCTACAAGGCAGCCGAGAAAATACTCTAATCCCATTTCAAGGATGGAGACGCTGAGACCCCTGGAAGTGAAGTCTTGCCCAAGGTCATTGCTGACTTGGAGATGAAGTGCCAGGTGGAGGGAGTCCGCTCTGCCCCCTACCTCCACCTCACCTCCGCTTAGCTCCTCTCTGGCAGTTGTGTTCTGCCCTCTCCTGCCCGTGGCACCTGAGTGTGGACTGAGCAGCCTTGGCTGAGCCCAGAGTGGGACAGTGACAGCTTCCCCCTCCCCCCTCAGATCCGCTCTGTGATCAGGAGGAGCCGGGAGACGGGCCACGCACACCCCATGTCCCGGGAGCCCTCCCCTCGCCGCCGGCTGGACCCCGCCACCCTGAGCAGGACCCCATCCCAGGAGCGGCTCATCGCAGAGCTGCAGGGTCGGCTGGGCATCCAGCCAGAGGCAGAGGAGGCAGCGGGGGCAGCGGGGGTCTCTGCCGAGGACTGGCTGACCGAGGGCGTCATCATCACTGTGCAGCCTCGTGGGAGGCGGGCTGGGGGGCAGCTTGTAGAGAAGGTAGCGAGGAGGTGCCTGGGGCTGGGCCAGGGCCAGGCCAGTAGGCGTCCTGATTCTTGCCCAGGATGGCTGGAGGGGAGATGTGGTGTGGAAAGGAGGGTGGGGGGAGGGTCTTGCAGCCTGTGGCAGAGTGAGGCTGGCCTCACTCTCGGTGCCAGGGTGGGAAGGCCCAGGGGGAGCCTGGGGATGGCATGCTTCCTGCTCTTACACTCTGCTTCATCTCTCTCCTTCCTTTCTTCTTCCCAGGTCGTCTTCCCTCCTGGCTCCCCTGTTCCCCTAAGAAGAACCTTCCCTCTTCTGACTTCTCCTCCTCCTGTCTCTTTGCTCCAGCCGCACAAAGACGCCTCACCCAACAGCCCTTGTCCCTCGCCCAGCCTGCCCGCCCCCTCTTCCCTGGGGCCGTCCGCTCTTGCCCGAGGTTCCCCTGGGGTCCCAAGTGCTGCGGCAGGGCTTCGGGAAGAGGGTGTGCAGGGCCCCACCCTGCCCCCTCCTGCACCCCACACTTGGAGGTCCGTGGGCTGCCAGACCGACGAGGACCCGCTCTTCCCCCCGATGCAGGCAGGCCTCCCTGTCTCCGTCCTGCTGCCTGGGCCGTGTTCCCGCACTGCACACTTGGGGACACATACACACACCCCCTCTCTGGCCCTCCGTCCATGAGTCAGGACAGTACCACAGTCCTTCTTTAGACCTTGCCTTGACCCTGGGCCCTCTCAACCTGCTGTCAGCACTCCCAGCCCCTTGATGTCAGCTGTCCTCTTGCTTCCCAGTGGGGCTTCTCTCTGCTTGCCCCTTCCCCATGTCCCTTGGTCCTGCCTCAGGCTCCTCTGAGGAAGCCATTCCCAGAAGGGAAACCAAACCTGCTCCTCCCGCTCCAGCCCCCAGGCCAGTACCTGGAAGGCCACTGTGCTCTCAGCCCTGGTTACCTTCCTTTCCGTTGTCCGTGCCTTTAGTTGGCTCACCTTCTGCCCCTTCTTCATCTCTCCCCGGGCCTCTCTCTCTGGGTCATTTTTCTCTAGACTTTTCCTCCTCATTCTCATACTGCCGGGGTTGGGGGTGGGGTGGGGTCCTCTTATTTCATCCCAAATTCCCTTTTGTGAAATGTTCCCTAACAAGGTTTCCTTTTCTTTCTTTCCTTAATTAAAAACAATTTTCTTGTCCTCGTTTCCTCCCCTATCCAAGATCCAGGGCCTGGAACAAATGGCGGATGGAGAAGCGTGGGCGGCCGGCTGGCCTCCGAGCGACAGGCAGAGCAGTCCCGAAGGGCAGGACGAGGGAGGGGTCAGTGCCGAGGCGGGGGTGCCTAGGGTCCTGCTTGCCTGTTTTCTGGGCCTTGGTAGGCCAGTGGGGTGCCGCAAGCCCCTCTGATTCCCAGGATATCTTGTGGATGCCAGTCCCACCCTCGGGGTTCGGGGCTCTGGGGGCCCTGGACGAGGTTGTACCGCTTGCCTCCGACAGCCCGTCTGTCCAGGAGGGCGAAAAGCCCCCGGTGCCGCGGTGCTGCGAGGCCTCCTCCCCAAGCCTGAAGTACTGACCACCTCTCTCCCTGTCTTTGCAGTTCATGGCCCAGGGGAAGACGGGGAGTAGCTCTCCCCCTGGGGGGCCCCCGAAGCCTGGGAGCCAGCTGGATAGTATGCTGGGGAGCCTGCAGTCTGACCTGAACAAACTGGGGGTCGCCACGGTTGCCAAAGGGGTCTGCGGGGCCTGCAAGAAGCCCATCGCTGGGCAGGTGATAGAGGGGGAAGGGGAGCAGGGGAGGGAGCTGCAGATGGCTGAAAATTGGTTCCCCTGGGCCCCCCGGCAGCGGGGGGGCCCTCCGTGGCAGGCCAGGGCCCTGAACCTCGTTCTGCCTCTTTCCCCAGGTCGTGACCGCCATGGGAAAGACGTGGCACCCAGAGCACTTCGTCTGCACCCATTGCCAAGAGGAGATCGGATCCCGGAACTTCTTTGAGCGGGATGGACAGCCCTACTGTGAAAAGGACTATCATAACCTCTTCTCTCCGCGCTGCTACTACTGCAATGGTCCCATCCTAGATGTGAGTCCGGGCGGGCGGCCTGGCGGGAGGGCAGGTGTACTGCCCAGTTCTTTCCTGTTGCTGCTGCCATCTGATGCTAAGAGAGGTCACTCATGCTTGAGCTCACACAGCTAGGAAATGGTGGGGTTGGGATTCAAACCCAGGCTAGATTCGGGGCCCTTCTACCTCCCTTCCACCTCCCATCCTAGATTCCCTGCTGCGTACACTCCAAGGCTTAGGAGCCATGGCCTGATAAATAGAGTGCCGGTTCCCTCCCTCTCCTGCTGCATGATGTGGAAAGAACCGCACAGACCCTTGGAGCCTGTTTCTCCACTTGCAAGATGGGAGTCTGAATAGAACCCATGACCTTGGGTTGCCTGGGTGGCTCAGTCATTAAGCGTCTGCCTCAGCTCAGGACATGATCCCAGCCAGGGTCCTGGGATTGAGCCCCGCATCAGGCTTCCTGTTCAGCGGGAAGCCTGCTTCTCCCACTTGCCCTGCTTGTGTTCCCTCTCTCTTGCTGTATCTCTCTCTGTCAAATAAGTAAGTAAAATCTTAAAAAAAAAAGAACCTATGACCTTAATCACATGGCAAGATTCAGGAGAGAGAATGTCGAGAGAGTATGTCTGGCATGTCAGATCCCTCCATAAACTGGAATTCCCAGTGGTAATCAGAGCGCATTGAGCACAGACTTGATCTCTGGGTGGGGGTGGGAGTGGGGGTGGAGGTGGGGGGGTGGGAAGGACAGTCCTGCCTGTGGGTCTCTGCTGTGGGATCTGTCCAGTGGGTCGGCACCTGGGCTCTGATCCCACACTTTGCTCTCACAGAAAGTGGTGACAGCCCTTGACCGGACGTGGCACCCCGAGCACTTCTTCTGTGCCCAGTGTGGAGCCTTCTTTGGTCCAGAAGGTACGACCAGCAGGCAGATCACCTTGCTGGAGGGTCTCCTCCCCCTCCCTTCCCCCTTACCCCCAGCGCTTGGGAGGCAGGGGCAGGAGACTTTGCTGCTCTTCGAGTCAGGATGATTCCATATCTAGAGGCCCTCACTCGGCCCCCTAAACCCCTGTTTCTCAGGGTTCCATGAGAAAGACGGCAAAGCCTACTGCCGGAAGGATTACTTTGACATGTTCGCGCCCAAGTGTGGCGGCTGTGCCCGGGCCATCCTGGAGAACTACATCTCGGCCCTCAACACCCTCTGGCATCCTGAATGCTTTGTGTGCCGGGTAAGGAGCCCCCCTCATCTGGAGGGAGCTGGGAGTGGGCAGCTGGGAGAGAAGGTCTGCACCCCCCACCCCCTTGTGCTCTCTGGATCTAACATAGGGGTTATTAAAGGGGTGAGCAGGTAGGAGTGCAATTCTTCAAGTTCAGAGGGTCTTGGGCCAGGGCTCACAGTGAGGTTGGGAGAAACCAAGAGGAAGGGAGACAATGTCCCCCAGCCTTGTCCTGTGCGATGGCCCTGGGACTGGTCATGTTCAGCAGAAGGGCGTGTGAGAATGAAATGAAATAATCTTGTACCAGCTTCAGTGGAAACAGGCAGTGGTCTCCAAACTGTATTTTGGTGGTAATGGGAGTCCACAGACGTTAGGGATCCAACAAGGGCTCTCAGACCAGATATGTTTGGGAAACTGCTCACTGCAGGACTTCTCAGTGCCTTTTATACCCAAGTATGCAGGTTGGTTTCTGGGCACATGTTCCAGCCACCTGCTCAGGAGTCAGACCTCTGTTTGAATCCAGGCTGTGCAGCTTAATAGCTGCATGACCTCAGGCGAGTCACTAAACTTCTAAGCCTCAGTTGCCTTTGTTGAGAGAATGCAGTTAAGTGTTTAGTGCAGCACTTGGCACATAGGAAGTGCTCAGCCAGCAGGAGTCATGAGCGTGACTGTGTGCTGCCCATCCCAGTGGCGGCTGTCCCAGCCCCAAGCCCCAGCCTGAGTCCCTCACCCTCCGCCCTGCCCCCTGTTCTGCCTCACAGGAGTGTTTCACGCCCTTCGTCAATGGCAGCTTCTTTGAGCACGACGGGCAGCCCTACTGTGAGGTGCACTACCATGAGCGGCGAGGCTCACTCTGCTCCGGCTGCCAGAAGCCCATCACGGGCCGCTGTATCACCGCCATGGCTAAGAAGTTCCACCCTGAGCACTTCGTCTGTGCCTTCTGCCTCAAGCAGCTCAACAAGGGCACCTTCAAGGAGCAGAACGACAAGCCTTACTGTCAGAACTGCTTCCTCAAGCTCTTCTGCTAGGCGCCTTTCTTGGCCCTTCTGCCCTGGCCCAGCCTCCCCAACTGCTACTGTGACCCAGAGGCCTTGCCCTGAAACTGGAACGCGCGTCCTCGGCTGGTGCAGGATGGCGAGAGGGCCTGCTCTTCTTTCCCCCCTGCCAGAGCCACGGCCTTCCTCCTCCTGCAGCCCTCCCCAGGCTGTCAGCTCTTCATGCTCCCTGAGAGGTGGAGGCTGGAGGGCCCCGCCCTGCACCGTGTGTGTCCCCATGACCCCGCCTGGCCTGGCCAGCGCCCCACACTGGAGCCGTCTCTTACTCATACTTTGGCAGTGCAGCAAGGGGGAAGGGCAGGCAGGGTCAGATGGGGTCTTTTTTTATCCTTCTCGCCCCATCCCGACCTCATTATCCTTGTCCTGAGAGTATTGGGGGATTCCGGCTCCCTTCAGACAATGCCAGCATAAATCCACCTGTCCAAGGGTGGAAATGTTCGAGGGGCCGCGGAAGGTTTCTTGCGCTCCTCCTGCCCTTCCAGTGTCCCCAGGCCTAGGCCCCTCCCCCCTCCCCCCATAACTGCTCTGGTTCTACTGAGAAAGGCCTCTCCAGCAATAATGTTTTATAGTCACTTCCTCCGCCTCTGGGACGGCATGAGGTGGGGAGTTTCCCCCTGTGCCTGGACACTGTACCGACTTTGATAGATTTCTACACTGAGGTTTGAATTCATATCGTCTGAGTTGCTTTTACTTCTCTATACAACATGATTTTGAAAAGATTTTAAAGATGTCCCCTTTTGTACTCTCCTCATCCATGGCCACTGGTCCTGTTGGCGTCGATGGCTGTGGTGTGGGGTTTGCCTTGTACTGAGGGCTTGGGGTGGGAAAGCAATTTGTATTTTATTTTTTCTTAGCACAAGCAGGTGAACTGGGAGCAGCTCTGTGACTCCCCTTCCTTAACTTCACAGCTCACCAGGACTGTTTTATAAACTGCTGTATTTTAAAACCCCTTCCTGGATACTACCTGGGCCAGCAAGCTCTTAACTGAAACTGGCCTCAGGGTGTCTTGCCCTTGGGGGCCTAGAATTCTGAACCTCATCCGTCCTGTTCCTGAGGGAAGAGAAGGGGAAAGTACACTTTGGGGGTGCTGATTCCTGTCTAAGTAAGCCATCGGGAGCATTTGCTCCCCTGTTAACTTTTTGGCAACAAAGAGAACCCAGCAAACATCTTGGCCTCCTCACCGCTTCTCTATGGCTCTTCTGCCTCCTCAGGAAAGCTGGTATCTGGTCGTGTTGATTCCACTGGCGCCATCACTTCCCCAAATTTCCTGCCCTCCCTGGAGACTGGAGGTTTGGGAAAAAGGGCCCAGGTGGTTGCAAGGGGGGCCTGATAGGACTCGGGGCAGTGGGATAGGATCCTGCTAAAGTAGTGGGACACCCCCAGAGTTCTGGCCCTCACAGATGAAACAGGAGCAGGCAAGCCTGGGGTTCTGGGTCAGCAGAAAGGGGCCCCCGTGGGGTCTAAAGTGAGGAAGATCCAGACCACTCCACTAGACTCACAGCAGAGGCTGAGCATGCGGGGGTCTCAGAAGAGGGTCCCCTCCTTCGAGGCGGGACTGGGAGCAGCCCTGGTCTGAGGAGGTCAGCCAGGCCCCTCCAAAGGTCTGATGTCTCCACTTCCACCCATAGGCCTTATTGCTCTGTTTACAGGGACCTGCCCCAGGCCCCTCCCCTAGGGGGACGGGGTTTCTGGGGTCCACCCTCTGGGTCAATGGTTATTTGATGATTTTATTTTATTTTTTTCTCTGTAAACTTCTAACCTGGCTTTTCCCCATGTCAGTTCCTGTGATTTATGCCAATAAAGTTTGCCATTATTTTCACCCATGCCTAGTTCCTTTTCTTGGCGGTCTGAGGTAACAACTTAGTACCAGAAGAGAAACCAAACCTTTCCCAGACTCATGGGGACCATATTGAAGGTAACTCAGTGATGTTCCCTTAATTGAGGCAGAAAGCCCCCTGGGGATGGGATCCCTGCCTGAGCTTTGCTCTTCCCTCAGCAGTTGGTGAGGAGAAGCAGGAGGAGCAGTGTTGGGCCCCGTTTAGTGGGTCATGTCCTGCCCTAGTGCTTGGGTGTCACTTCCCTGAGGGAGGGCATCCTCATGTGGGCCTGTGGGTGGCCTCACACTTACAGAACCGGAAGGAGGTTTAGAGAAGAGAACGGACATGCACAACACAGTCCTCTTAGTGAGCTCAAAGGTGGGATGTGAACCCAGAGCTTGCCTCTGCCTGTGTTCCTGCTTTGACCAGACACCACCCCCTCAATGTGTTGGCACCACACCTTGGGTGTGGAACCTGCCCAGCAGAAGTTGGCGAACTTAGAGTGGAGGATGGGTCTCTACTTGTCCTCCTAGTGGTCATGTCCATATTTGCATGCTTCCTTCTTGCCTGAGCCAGAACTCCAGTGCGGGGGAGGGGGGGCCTCCTGGATAGCATTGTTCCCCTTTGAGATGCTTCACAATTTCCCTGTTCTCTGGAATGGTTTTCCAAAAGGAGCATGTTGATTTCTAGTTGGTATCTTGGCCATTTCACAGTGAGCTCAAATGGAAATTACCTTGGACCCTCACCCAAAGGTGATGACGGTTCCTTCCTGACTATTTCGAATTTATTTTATTTATAGAAATGGATATGGCACATTTCACTGTAGTTTGCTTTTTCACTCAGCTGTACTTTGTGAGTATTTTCCCGTGTCAATAAATATACATCTGCATCATTTTCTAATGGCTTCATGATATTCCATTATATTGATGTACTACAATTAGAGATGGTATTTATATCATCAGAGCCAGGATGTCCTCGGAAAGGTACCATTGAGTGTGTATATACTTGGAAAAGTGCATTTGGGGAGAGACAGCCTCAAGGTTTAGAAGGGACTGTATAGCATCGTGAGACTCAGGGGCTTTGTACTTGCTTCTAGATTTCAGTTCCAAAACCATTGTTTATTAGGGCTGAGCAAGCTGTTTAACCCATGAATTTTCTCATTGATAAACGGAAATGCTAATACTGTACCTCCTCAGGGTTGCAAAGATTCACAGCAGTAACGTGTACAAAGTACTTAGCACAATGCTGAGCACGCAGTAATACACTGTCATTAAAAAGATCTTAGCAGGACGCCTGGGTGGCTCAGTTGGTTAAGCGACTGCCTTCGGCTCAGGTCATGATCCTGGAGTCCCGGGATCGAGTCCTGCATCGGGCTCCCAGCTCCACGCGGAGTCTGCTTCTCTCTCTGACCTTCTCTTCGCTCATGCTCTCTCTCACTGTCTCTCTCTCTCAAATAAATAAATAAAATCTTTAAAAAAAAAAAAAAGATCTTAGCAGTAACTGACTCCAACAGTTCTCTAAACAGCTGGTCATCAGAGGCACTAGGAGGCTTTGAAACAAAAATACAGAAACTTCTAACTTGAAAGGGTGAAGGTGGAACACCCCTTCTGCCCTAGGGTCTACCTCAGTCATTACCAGAAAGAAAAAATTATTGATCTAACACAAGTGTTCAAATAAGTGTTGAATGAATGCATAATAAAAAACTAGAAATCCTCCTACATTTCAGGGACTGTGTTAAGACTTAACACATGGGGGTGCCTGGGTGGCTCAGTGGGTTAAGGCCTCTGCCATCCGCGTGGGTCATGATCCCAGGGTCCTGGGATTGAGCCCTGCATTAGCTGTCTGCTCAGTGGGAAGCCTGCTTCCCCCCACCCCCTGCCTGCCTCTCTGCCTACTTGTGATCTCTGTCTGTCAAATAAATAAATAAATAAATAAATCTTAAAAAAAAAAAAAGATACGTATCTCATTTAATCCTCATAGCAACTCTAGAATGTGCTTACTTCATTATCCCTATTTTACAGTTAAGGAAAAGGAAACAGAGGATCAGCAAGGTGAAATCACTTCCTAAGATAACACAGTTAGCAAGCGGTAGAAAAGGATATGGATCCAGGTCGTCATCTTCTCCTTCTCCTTCTCCTTCTCCTTCTTCTTCCTTTTTTTTTGGATCCAGGTTTTCTGACTGCAAACCTTGCATTCATTCAGTCAACAAATATTTATTATGTGCCTGCTATGTGTCAGGCGCAAGACAAAGGTCTCTGCTTTGTGGAGCTTGCTTTCTTGCAGGGAGAGACAGACAACCAACAACATAGTAAGTTATATAGTGTGTTAGGAGGTGGAAGTGCTAAAAAAAAAAAAAAAAGAAAGAAAAGAAACGGAAAGAAAGAAAGAAAAAGGTGGAAGTGCTACTGAAAAAATAGAATAGAGTAAGGGGGAAGTAGTAGTGGATTTTTGGGTAATTTTAAATAAGGCGATTGGGTAGGCCTCCTTGAGCACATGATATTTGAACCAAGACTTGGAGTTAATTCCGTGGATATCAGCAAGGAGTCTTCCGGGAGAGGGACTAGCTATTTATTGCACGACCCCTCAAGTGGGAGCGTGTTTTGGAAAAACACCAAAGAGCATCGTCTGGCTGGAAGGGAGCGTCAGTAGGAAAAGAATGAGATTATAGGGGTGGAGGTCTAGAGCAGATCCTGTAGGGTCTTGTAGGCAGTTTAAGTTTTAAGCTTTTTCTCTGAGCAAATTCGAAACTTTTGAGGAATTCTGAGCAGATGAGATAATGATCTGACTTAGGTGTTAGAGGGTTCCTCTGTCTTGGTAGGGGGAAGAACAAACTATAGAGTAGACAAGAGACCATGCTGTTTCTAACGCGTGTGCAATTATGCCTCAGCTCCACATCGTACTCTTCTGTTTGTGATTTAACCAGGTGTCAGGAGAAAACTTGAACGCTCAGCGCCCAAGCTCTAGCCCCTGAACGTGAGCGGCTCCAGGCCAGCAGAGGGAAGCAGCTTCGAGACAGCTACTCCAACATAAGCGGCGCCTTCTTTAACGGCTTTATTTAAAGACGGCTTCCCGTTGGGGCCAGTGGCAGCAATATTATCCAATGGCTGTCTACCCCAGTTTCGCGTCACTAGATAGGCGTCGGCGCCAGCCAATAGGTGGGGACACTGTCCTCGTCTTCTGATTGGCCGCTTCGTTCACATATAAAAGGTGTGCGCCGGCGCGCGGCCTTCCTCTCTCCAGGCGTCCTCGTGAGAGGTTTGTGTGGCTGCTGTGGCCGCACTGGGACCCGG